TGAGGCCCTGGGTTCGATTCCTCAGCACCACATAAGCAAAAAGAAAAAAGCCGGAAGTGGTGCTGTGGCTCAAGTGGTAGAGCGCTAGCCTTGAGCTGAAGAGCTGAGGGACAGTGCCCAGGCCCAGAGCTCAGGCCCCACGACAGGACCCAAAAAAAAGAGTCTCAGCCTCCTGGGTGGTTAGGGATTACAGGCATGAGCCATCATTGCCTAGCACAGGGAGGGGGTACCTTTAGAAAGAATGGCACCAAGATGTTCATATAAGGGGTGAACAGTTTGGTATGTTGGGGTAAGATAGGTAGGGACACAGTAATGAATGATTGTTGCTCTCTTCTCCTATCTTTCTCCAGGGTTCTGCTTCTTAAATCTGCCTAGCAGCTTCCCTGAGGGATTCCAATTTGATACCGTTGAAATTAACTTTCCCATGACAGAGCTGTGTTTCGTGGGCCTCATATCCATGATTGATCCTCCTCGCACTGCTGTGCCGGAAGCTGTAGACAAGTGTCGCTGTGCGGGGATTAAGGTATCTCCCTTAAGTCCCTCCCTTGTTAGAGGTTGGAGGAGTGAGATAGAAAGCCAGGCACAAGGTAGGTGCTTAATAATCTAAGCTTAATTTATTTCTGCCTTATTGAGCTGATGACTTAGTGTTCAGAACTACCTGGTAACGAGTCTCTTCTGGAGTTTGCACTGAATGCTAAAAAAACAAGGAAGATTGGAAAAACTTAATGTTCACAGGAAAAGAGAAACAGGCTCTGGTGTTGAGGTGGGTGCTAGCAGGAGGGGAGGGTTGGGCTAACATGAAGGGTGACTGGAAATGAATATAGTCAAAGTAGATGGTTTGCATGTATCAACATGGAACAACGAACCCTGCACAAACTTTTCGGAAGGGGAAAAGGGAGAGGCATGGAGAGGATGAGACTGGTGAAAGAGCATTGGGTAAACAAGCGCAAATGTCATAATGAAGTCCTCCTCGTATAACCAATATGCTAACAAAAGAAGCTGAAGAAAACTGAAGTCGAAGACATACCCCAGACCCATGAATCTAAAACTCCCAGAATAGAGTCAAAACACCTGTATTTCCAAAACATTCCTGGAAACTCCAGTGGGCAGACAAGCATCCAGTATCCAGTATAAAGCTCCTCAAATTTTTCTGGATGTGAATTTTGGGGGGTTTCTTTTAATACGTATTCTGAGTTCATAGTTCTAGAGGTCCTGGAGGTTGCACATTTTAAACAAACTCCTAACTGTTATAAACCCTGATCCTGTAGTAAAAGATACAAAGTAGGGGGAATTTGTCCAAGAGAACAGAACAAACCCAGAGGTGAAAAAAAGCAGTGGAATTCCTCTGAGATGTCGTATATCCCATATTTGCAGGCCAAAGACTCACATCCTGACAGATTAGATATTGACACTTTCCTTGTTTGTATTTTGGGTTCCCTGAATATTCTGGTTCCCAGGCTTGGGAGGACATTGAGTAGAGGGGATCAAGGCATCTAAGGAAGAGAGGGTGGCCAGGCGCTGGTGGCTCACGCCTGTAATCCTAGCTACTCAGGAGGCTGAGATCTGAGGATAACGGTTCAAAGCCAGCCCAGGCAGGAAAGTCCATGAGACTCCTATCTCCAATAAACCACCAGAAAACCGGAAGTGGCACTGTAGCTCAAGTGGTAGAGTGCTTGCCTTGAGCTGAAGAGCTGAGGGACAGCGCCCAAGCCCAGAGTTCAAGCCCCACGACCGACAAAAAAGAAAAAGAAAAAAAGAAAAGAGAGGGTGCTCTCTGTTGGGGATGACCTCATTATAGATCTGACCTATGCCTGCTGGAATTTTGCCTATGGATCATCTTGGGCCATGCTTCATTCAAGGACTAGACACTAGAATTGGGACCCAGGAATGAACCAAGAAAGGATGCAGGAAATTATTGTGTGTAAACTGTCTAACGGCTACCATACAAAACTTCAGTGATGGCATTATCATAGCACATCCTCGTAGAATAACCAAGTCATCTTGACGTCTCCACAGGTCTATAAACTACCATATCATATTGTAGAAGAAGATATTTGTTGAATTTTTTTTAGTTTTAAGGAAGATTATTAGATTGAGGTAAAAGTTGTGATTTTAGCCAGGATGCCTGACAGATTAGGAGGTTGTTGCAGCCAGAGGAGGAGCCGGCCAGCTCATAACAGACTGGGAGGACTCAGGACTGGCTGTTAGCTGGCGGCCAGTGTAGGAGGCCATGGGGCTTTCTGGCCAGTGCTTATTCTGGTCCCCAGCTTAGGCCTCTCACTACAATTTCTTACCTTCTTCTGGACTCTAAACTGATAGGAAATTGGTAGACTCAGCGAAGAATTGTGGCTCATTCTCTCTCCCCTGTGGGGAAATACAAGACATACAAATAGTGCCATCCCTTCAGGGAAGCTAAAATATAATGGATACATATAAGCTTGTTGTGTAGGATAGACCTTTCCAGGGATCAACTCTGACATGGTGTTGTTGCAAGACTGATGAATGTTAGTTACAGACTGCTGATTCAAAGAGGTAGTATATGGACTGAAGGTATGGCTTAAGTGGTAGAGTATCTGCCATGAACAAGAAAGCCAAGAGGCCCTGAGTTTAAGCCCCAAGACCCAGAACTCACACCAAAAGAAAGTATAATGGTCTCTTTTTTTTGGGGGGGGGTCCGGTCGTGGGGCCTGAACTCTGGGCCTGGGCACTGTCCCTCAGCTCTTTAGTTCAAGACTAGCACTCTACCACTTGAGCCACAGAGCCACTTCCGGCTTTTTTCTTTTTTATGTGGTGCTGAGGAATCAAACCCAGGGCCTCAGGCATGCAAGGCAAGTGCTCTACCACTGAGTCCCAGCCCTATAATGGTCTCATTGCAGTAACATTTTTACAAGGAAATGAGAGAGAACGAAAGTTTCCCAGATAGCCACGTGCTCATAACTTTGGGATAAATGTGATTTATTTTTATTTTTTGTCAGTCTTAGGGCTTGAACTCTGGGCCAGGCACTGTCCCTCAGCTCTTCAGCTCAAGACAAGTGCTCTACCACTTGAGCCACAGTGCCACTTCCAGTTTTCTGGTGGTTAATTGGAGATACGAGTCTCCTGGGCTTTCCTTCCAGGTCTGGCTTTGAACCTTATATCTCAGCCTCCTAAGTAGCTAGGATTACAACAGTGAGCCACCAGTGCCCGGCTAAATGTGGGTTTTTAAAACCTGAAAATATTCCCATTATACTTGCCAGTGAACAAGGAATTTCAGTATTAGTAAGAAACTTTGACTCTCTCTAAGAACTATAGCCAGCCTTTGGATGGTGTCCTGAGAGCCTACAGTTTCATTATCAATGCTAAAGTTTCTCTCGGAGGGCTCTGATGTCAAGGAGGGGAAGATGGCATAAGGGAATAAGAGTGGCTTGCAAGACTGACTGTATGGAACTTTTAGAGATAGAGCCAACACCAAGAAGTTGGAAATACTCCAATTCTTTCAGAAACTGCTAGACACTCTTCACCTCAGAGGGAATCATTCTTTGTAGAACTGCATATCCGTTGTATGAATAGATTTATCTCAATGCTTCAAAAAATTGGAATTCAGGTCTCACGAGCTCACTCTTAGAGTGGTTACCTTTGTGTTTTTATTTATCTGGTATGGTATGGAGGTAGTCCATTTGATGGCCGAGCAGCATGCCTTGTCTAACAGGTCTTATGTCACTTTGGGAAGCTTTCAGCATGAATGGCATCACTAAGGGCTTAAGGTCCACCACATCTGGAAGATGGTTTTCTTATAGTTCCCTCCCTGATCTGATCTTTGCCCCACAGGCCAAGCTCAGGAGGATCCAGTGCCTCATAGCTCAGACAGAACATTCAACATCAGAGGTTGTAGGGAATAGTGCAGTTTTACTGAGTCTGGTAATCACAGCCTAGTTAGCACTTTGCTGTCTCCTTCCAACCAAACAGGGGAGCCAGTGTGAAAAGATGAGAGCTCATGAAACCCGATAGTAGGTGCTTCTGGGGAAACTTCAGTGCTTATTTCTATACTTAGAAAACAAACTGACTAGCCTCTGAAGGATCTCCATTTCTGGAAGCAGTGGACCATTTTGTCACTGTCAGATGGTTTTCTTCTCCCTCCCATCAGAGCTTAAAAAGTTGTATGGCTAAAGGGCACTCCAAAACCTTGAGTTAGAGCTTCCCAAGTAACCACCATTCCGTTCCTTCCTTCCCTCATCTGATGGTTATTTGTTGGTGGATTCCTCTATGCTGAGCATTGTGTAGATCAAGATGATTAACAAGCATCTCACATTTCACCTTGCAGAGCTCTCAGTCCAATGGAGGGAGAGAAAAATAAGTGATCATCACACAGAGAAGTGAGAAATGTTAACATAAAGAACAGAATGCCATGAGAGCACAGAGCATGAGTACCTTCTTTGGGGAGGAATACAATGGGACCAGGCATCAGAAAGCCAAACATAACTTGAAACAGAGGGTCATGGCAAGGGAATGGGATGAAAAGGGCTAGAGTAAAGATTGGAATGCACTGGGCTCGGGTGAAATTTTGCTAGGCAGATGGAGTATTCCAGTCACCCTTCATTACCACTTGTTCTATGTGTAGGGGTTTCTGTGTTGTTGCTCAAGGTTGCAGCATAGCTACTGAAATAATTAAGTAAAGTTCTAAATATTGTATCAGACTCAAATCTCTGAAATGTTCCTGGACAATCTAAAATCAAATCATCTTGGGGTCCTGATTCCCTCCCAAGCATTGAAGCCACAATAGAAAAGCTTTTGGTCTATATAATGTGTTCTTGTAAATGATCTATTAAAACCTTTGTTGAGTGAAAGTAGTGAGTTATTCCTACAAGAGAAAGACAAAGGATTCAGAACGTCTCTGAAGAAACTCTTCTCTTTCTTTGCCTCCACAACTCAGGTGATCATGGTAACCGGAGATCATCCCATTACAGCTAAAGCCATTGCCAAGAATGTGGGTATCATCTCAGAAGACAATGAGACAGCAGAGGACATTGCTGCCCGGCTTTATATTCCTGTCAGCCAGGTAGACACTAGGTGAGATCCCTAAAGAACTCTGATCTGCCATTTTCTTCTCCCTCCTCAGATGCCCAACCCAGACATCACTTACCAAAATTCTTAAAGTCCCTTTCAATTGGTAGGATTGTGGGGGATTATACAGGACAGAGTAAAACATAATAAGGAAATAGCAAAGTAATAAGTCAATGGATTTTTAGGAAAGAGAGGAGTGATTGGCAAGGGAAGAGGAGATGTAATGAGTCGATTTGGGGACTGCATATAGAGAAGAGACAGGGTTGGAAAGAAAAAAGAACTTAGTAGGCTAATGTGAGTTCTCCACATTCAGATGTAGCCTTTTGACATTCTTTTTCCCCACAGGGATATTAAAGCCATCGTGGTGCATGGCTCAGATCTGAAGAGAATGAACTCAGAGCAACTGGACCACATCCTCAAAAATTATAAAGAGATTGTATTTGCTCGTACTTCCCCTCAGCAGAAGCTCATCATTGTGGAAGGGTGTCAGAGGCAGGTAAGGCAGACCAAGGAGCCCTGGGAACCCTAGTAGAAATCTTATAGCAGAGCCCAGCATTCAACCAAGCAGAGGGGAGGTATTAGAGAGCATCACATCTTGAACTGCATGAGGGCTTCAGTGTAGAGACGTCCTGAGGGCTTAGATACCTTGTGGGGAGCAGGAAAAGGAAGGGTTGAGAGCTCTGAATCAAACATCGTTGCATCAAGAAGCAAGATGACGCAAAGTGGGGGCAGGTGGTTACAAAAGAAAGAAGTAAAAAAGGACAAAAGACTAAATAAATAAAGACTGGGATCACTCAACCCTACAGAAAATGGAAAAAAGACCTGCCAATCAGAATGCCATCCAATTTTCAATATTTAACCCAAGGCCAAGTTCTGTAACAGGAAGGTGGCCCAAGATGGCAGACCTGAGGTAAACACCTGTCTTCCACATGGCGTACTCTTTCTCTGTCCTATTCCTCTGCTAATAAACTGTTCTAGCACCTTAAAAAAATGAGATGTTGAAATCAAACTGATCCTGATTCTACCACAGTAGTTGTTCACTCCTGTCTGACTTTACCAGGGAGCCATTGTGGCCGTGACGGGTGATGGGGTGAACGACTCCCCTGCCCTGAAGAAGGCGGACATTGGCATTGCCATGGGCATCTCTGGCTCTGACGTCTCTAAGCAGGCGGCTGACATGATCCTGCTGGATGACAACTTTGCCTCCATCGTCACGGGCGTGGAAGAGGGTAAGGAAGCTAGGTGCCAGGGTTGGGACGTGACCCTTAGATTAAGGCAGGACTTGGCATAAATCACCTTCACCTTCTTTTTCCATCATCCAACCACCACAACCTGTATGGACTGCAAAAAAAATCATTATAAAAAATTGCAAATTAGATCCAGCTATAGATGAGATTAGAGGGAAGACAAGATTTTTCAGGGAGACTAGGAGTCTGTCTTATCATAGTACTTTCTGTGTACTCTCACTGGTATTCAAGTGTGTATACAGCAAGTTCCTACAGCCATAGTCCTGGGGAAATTCCATGTCATATAGTCTTCAAAAAGGCCCCCTAGGAACCTGTTCCCTGAATGACAGGAACCAGTCAAGATCATTGAAGACTACGAATTAATTACATAAGCACCGTTAAGCATTCTTTTTTTTTTTTTTTTTTTTGTCGGTCGTGGGGCTTGAACTCTGGGCCTGGGCGCTGTCCCTCAGCTCTTCAGCTCAAGGCTAGCGCTTTACCACTTGAGCCACAGCGCCACTTCCCCGTTAAGCATTCTTTTTCTCCAAAAAAAATTCTGAAGAGGATGTCCATTGATGACAAGAGGATCCCAAAATGCTGAATTCCAGACTCCATCTTTCTGCTTGGAGCTATTTTCACTAAAACATGACTATCTGCATGTAAATAATGGTTCCTAGAATGATCCCAACACTTTGCTTATTTTTTATATCCATTTAATATAATTACTTTTGAGAGATGACAATGTGTAATGCACTATTCTAAGTGTATGGAACAAACCCAGCACATACCCTCATGTAACTTAATTTCTAGGGGGAAAAACAGACAATAAAAGCAGCAAATGTTATAGTATATTAAGAAGAATGGAAAAAATTAAGGAGAGAATGCAGAGAGGGATTGCAGTCTTAGAAAGGGTAGCCAGGGAAGGGCTCAGCTGTCTCGCAAGGCAGAAGCAATGATGCTGGAAGAGCTAAGAGGTACCCAAGGTCACAAGTTGGTTAGGTCAGAAAATGAGATTCAAACCCAAGCTTGTCCCAGGCCCAAGCTCTTTTCACTTGAGCCTTAATCTTATAAAGGGTTTAATCTTGACATTCTCAGACATCTCAGGATTAACATCCCAACACTGCTTAATTTTCAGAGATCAGATAACATTAGCTATGTTGAACTGGGAACAAAGAGTACACGGTCAGAACATAGTCATCAATTAGGGCTCTACTTAATAGATATACAATTGAGGAAGAAAACTAGACCCAGCATTTTCATGGATGCTTCTTGGTAATGGGTTTTCTGTTCAGGAAGTAATCTGTGGGAGGTGGGTCCTCTTGATGCTTCTCTCAGAAGGTTGACCATCCTCCCCAGGTCGTCTCATCTTTGACAATCTGAAGAAGTCCATAGCGTACACCCTGACCAGCAATATCCCCGAGATCACTCCCTTCCTGCTGTTCATCATCTTCAGCATCCCCCTGCCCCTGGGGACCATAAGCATCCTCTGCATTGACCTGGGCACTGACATGGTGAGCACCAGACTGGGTCCTGCACTGGAACTCATGTACCATAGATGAGGCGCAAGCAAACAGAAAGGGAGCAGAACTAGTGCAACTTCTGAGTTTCTCTCTTCACGTTGTGACCTTACCATTGTCACCTTTCATCTTCCAGGTCCCTGCCATCTCTTTGGCTTATGAGTCAGCTGAAAGTGACATCATGAAGAGGCGTCCACGAAACCCAAAGGTTGATAACCTGGTAAACCACCGTCTCATTGGCATGGCCTATGGACAGATTGGTGAGCCTAGAAGAGTGAAGGGTGAGGGGAGAGGGAAGTAGACACCCTGGCCATTTGAAGAATCTCTGTTTTGAAGTCAGGGAGGTTCTTTCTCAACAACAAACTATGTTAGACCCTATGTTAGACCTCTCATCTGCCCTTAACTTAAAGTACAATAGAAAAGGAACAAATATATGCAAAATGATAGCATCTTTCCAGATGCCAAGGAAGAAGTACTGGCCTCACACACAACAGGAAGCACAGCACACACAGCACACCAATCACGAGGATTATCAGAAAGCTATAATTGGGGAAATGGGACTTCAATTCGGTGTTGAAAGGATAGGGATTCAGCTACTAAGTAGACAGTCGGCTGTTCGCTGACCAATACACAGGGACGTTCATGTGGCATAGTTAAAGAAGATTCAATAAACCAACTTTTTGGTACTCTTAGTCTTGACAAGGAAGTGGAGGAAAACTAGTCAGTAGACATAGTAGCATTAATATTGAGGCCAGACTTAAAAAGCATTTGAAAACCATAAAAGGTCTTTGTTATTGAATTGCCAAGTACATTAGAGTGTTTCAGAAAGGATAATGAGAGATGGACAAGGGAGAGACTCGAGATCAAAGACATCATCAGGGATTCTTCTTTGGACCCCTCTCTGAATGAAGTTTTGTTGCTTTTCTTCCATGGCTTACCTTTCACTGTCAAATAAACTTACTCTGGGGCTGGGAAGGTGGCTCAGTGGTAGAGCGCTTGCCTTGCAAGCCTGAGGCCCTGGGTTCGATTCCTCAGCACCACATAAGCAAAAAGAAAAAAAGCCGGAAGTGGCGCTGTGGCTCAAGTGGTAGAGCGCTAGCCTTGAGCTGAAGAGCTGAGGGACAGCGCCCAGGCCCAGAGTTCAGGCCCCACGACCGGACCCCCCCCAAAAAAAAAGTAAACAAAATTGACCAAGTTATTGTTCTTATGGAGCTTATTTCTGATTAGTGGTATAACCCTACATATATGTACATTAAAACAAATATAACCATATGTACACATATGTATACACATACACATCTGCATCACTACATATATATTACATATATACACATATGTATATGTATATAAAGCATATTGGGCTAAAGGCTTAACCCAAGTTATAGAATGCTTGCCTAGCATGCTCAAGTTTATGGGTTCAACCCTTAGTACCTCAAAACAAGGAAGCAAACTCTATCAGATCAGCATATTGTAAGTCCAAAGAAATCCAAGAAGAGCTAGAATGGAGAATTGAGATACCAGAGAGAGTAGGATAGAAAGATACAGTCAGAAAGTTGAAATTGCAGAGAAATGTAATTACAGAGAAATCATAGGCATTACAAAGGATAATGACTAAAGTTTAAACACAGGTACAAGCAGCCCAGTTGGGGAGTGGAGGACAATATGTTAGAGATGATGGAGAGAAGAAACTATGGGACATAGTATTCAAAGGATCATCAACATAGATATTTAAATCTAACTTAGTGACAGTGAGTCTGAAGAAATGACCAGAGGTGGCTCAGGTAGTGGTAGCTAGCTGTAAGTGGATGATGTGACACTGTGATCTGATGCTTGAAAACATGGTGGCTGGTCAAACACCTAAATTCCATACTTAACACAACAGTTTTCAGCTTTGTTTTCTGATCATTTAAGACCTTATATTTCTCTCAAAGTATAACTCGAAGTGTAGTATATCAACACTGTACAGTCATATATTTTTGAATTTCTTGTTTGCTCTGAGTTATTTATAAACAAAGTGTTCTTTAACATGTTTTTTTTTCTCCAATCTTTTTCTCACTTGGCTTTTCCAAGTGAGAGCTGATGCTCTACCACCTGACCCATACCTCCACTTCTGGCTTATTGGTGGTTAATTGGAGATAAGAGCCTCATGGACTTTTCTGCCTCAGCTAGCTCTGAATCACAATCCTCAAATAGCCTCCTGTATAGGTAGGATTGCAGGTGTGATCCACCAACTCCCGACTAGAAAGTGATTTTTTTTTCAGAATTCATTGCCAAAATATTTTTTCATAATTATTTTCAGGGCAGGGGGAGGATGGGATGGGAAGGGGAAACAAACGAGGAGGCTACAATGCTTGATAAGAAATATACTCATTATCTTGCCCATGTAATTGTAACTCCTCTGTACAGTATTTTCACAATAAAAATAATAATAATTACTTTCAGGCCAGGCACCAGTGGCTCACGCCTGTAATTCTACCTATTCAGGAGGCTGAGATCTGAGGATGGTGGTTCAAAGCCAGCCCAGGCAAGAAAGTCCATGAGACTCTTATCTCCAATAAACTACTCAGAAAACTGGAAGTGGCACTCTGGCTCAAGTGGTAGAATGCTAGCCTTGAGCTGAAGAGCTGAGGGACAGTGCCCAGGTCCAGAGTTCAAGGCCCATGACCAACAACAACAACAAAAAATTAATGATTATTTTCAGAACAAATCAGCAATATTCATTTTTTAAGTAATTTTTCAGTCTAATTTTGATGTACTTCTGTTTCTATAGTCCTTTTTTTTGTGATCAGTCGTGGGGCTTGAACTCTGGGCCTGCACTGTCCTTCAGCTCTTCAGCTCAAAGCTAATGCTCTACCACTTGAGCCACAGCACCACTTCCAGCTTTTACTGTTTATGTGGTGCTGAGGAATTGAACCCAGCGCCTCATGCATGCAAGGCAAGCACTCTACCACTGAGCCACCTTCCCAGCCCTACAGTCCTCTTGTATAACTTATCTTGAATACTGCCATAGTTAGCATATTTGTCTCTCCCACTAGATCTAAGTTCCTTATATGCAAAATGCAAATGACAAAACCCATGGAATACATGAGTAAATATACCTCTCTCCCTCCCTCCCTCCCTCTCTCTCTCTCTCTCTCCCTCCCTCTCTCCCTACCCCCCTCTGTCTCTTCCTCCCTCATTCCCCCCTCCCCCCGCACCTTCTCATATACTGGGGTTTGAACTCTAGTCCTGAACTTACTTTCTGTCACTTAGGCCACATCTCCAACCATTTTAATTCTAGTTATTTTTAAGGTAAGGTCTCATATTTTTTCCAGGCTCACCTGGACCATGATCCTCCCACTTGTGCCTTCCACATAGGTGGGACCATAAACTTAAGCTTCTTGCTTGAGATGGGGGAGGTCTTGCTAGCTTTTTGCCTGGGTTAGCCTTAAGCTGAGCTCCTCCTGATATCCATTTCCTACGTAGCTGGGATTACAAGCATGAGCTAGGATGCCTGACCACTCTTTGGGGGTATTCCTTTTTGCTTGGGGTCGTACTGCCCTCTGGTCCTACCTTCCTCTCTAACCTAAGACCTCTGATTCTGCTTCTTCTATATCACACTTCTTACTAAGTTAGTAAATATCTTTTGAGCCACGCTACTACATGCCATTCTCTGAACTAAGCCTGGTGAGAGGACACAAAGATAAATAAGATCAGATCAGGGCTCTTGAGGAACTTTCAGGGAAGGAAAACACACAGATAAATCATAGCACAATCCAGGAAGTGCTGAGATATGTGGTGAGTGCAGTGTGAGTGCAGAGAAAGAGGAAGGATCCAACAAGCCTCCTGATCCTGGAAAGCAGAACAGGCCAGAAGCCTCTGGGTGTTTCTAAACCCCCCTGACCACTGCGCTGCCTCTCTCTGCCCGCCCTCCCCAGACCTATGAGCAGCGGAAGGTGGTGGAGTTCACGTGCCACACGGCCTTCTTTGTCAGCATTGTGGTGGTGCAGTGGGCTGACCTCATCATCTGCAAGACTCGCCGCAACTCAGTCTTCCAGCAGGGCATGAAGTGAGGACCCAACACTTTCCCATCCCCGCCCCCCTCCCACACCTCCCGGCCAACACACACACATACACAGAGGCCATTTCCCCCAGACCTTTTCCTCCTCACCTTCATCACATTGATAAATGTTTCTTTCCAGAAACAAGGTTCTAATTTTTGGGCTCCTGGAAGAGACATTCCTGGCGGCTTTTCTGTCCTATACCCCAGGCATGAGCGTGGCTCTGCGGATGTACCCACTCAAGTGAGTAAGGGAAGGGACCCAGAGATGCAGCTCTCTGGGCACAGGCATGAGGAAAGCATGTGAAAGGAAGTGGGAGGAAGCCTGTGTTGGAACCAGCCTGTCGCCAGCTAGGAGCTGCCTGGATAAATGGGCCTACACTCAGTGACATGGGGACAGAGTCATCTGTGCTCTAAGAAGTATCAAGAGATGGTGCCAATGATCACAAGACACTAAGGATGCAAATTTAGCAGACCTGCCAGTGTTCAATCTAGTGAAATCTTTCTTATGATGACATGTGGTATTGCTTAGAGTTGAAATAGCCATAAAAATAGCTTAATCTATGCTTAGCTAGTTCTATCTATATAAATATGTTCTAATGGGTATATATGGGAATGAGCATGCTGAAATTCCTGCTGTCTGGTTCGTTGTCTTGTTCAATTTTCAGGATTATGTGTGTGCAAACACATCAATCCCAGGGCTTGAACTCAGAGCCTAGCTCTCTTGCTTAGCTTTTTTGCCCAAGACTGATGCTCTGCCACTTGAGCAACAGATCCCCTAATGGTATTTTTTGTTGATTAATTGGAGATAAGAATCTCATGGACTTTCCTGCCCAGGCTGACTTCAAACCTCAATCCCCAAATCTCAGCCTACCGAGTAGCTAGGATTACAAGCAGAAGCCACAGGTGTCCAGCTCCTTTTAACATCAGTATATTTTTGAATGTTTTTATTTTAAAATGTACAGAGAATAAAGCAAAAATGTCTTTCTATGCTCACAAACAAGACACTATTTGCATATCAAGGCTTATATTTGTGGTGTGCATAGAGAAAGAACCCTGGCCTAGGCCTGGACTGTCCAATATGGTAGCACTACCCACATGTGACCACTGAGCTCTTGAAATATGGTTAGTGAGCTTAAGAAACTGAATTTTTTATGTTAATTCATTTAAAGTAAAAAACTGAAGCCACATTAAAATTTTGGCTCTTAAATACAGCTTCTGGCAGCCACAGTGGAACATGCCAGTAAACCCAACTACTTGGGTGGCTGAAGCAGAGAATTGGGAATCCAAAGCCAGCCTGGGCAATCAAGACAAACCTCTGATAGATGATAGGTAGGTAAGTAGGTAGATAGATGATAGATAGATGCTGTCCCTGAGCTTTTTCACTCAAAGCTAGCACTCTACTACTTTAAGCCACAGCACCACTTCCAGCTTTCTGGTGGTTAATTGGAGATAAAAGTTTCACAGGGCTGGGAAGGTGGCTCAGTGGTAGAGCGCTTGCCTTGCACGCATGAGGCCCTGGGTTCGATTCCTCAGCACCACATAAGCAAAAAGAAAAAAGCTGGAAGTGGCACTGTGGCTTAAGTGGTAGAGCGCTAGCCTTGAGCTGAAAAGCTGAGGGACAGCGCCCAGGCCCAGAGTTCAGGCCCCACTACTGGACCCAAAAAAAAACAAAAATAAATTAAAAAAAAAAGTTTCACAGACTTTCCTGCCCAACTTGGCTTTGAACTGCTATACTCAGATCTTGCCTTGTAAGTAGCTAGGATTTCAGGAATGAGCCACTGGCACCCAGCTGATAGATAGAATTTTATTCTCTTGTTTGGAGTCTATTTCCCTTTAACTATAGAAAATATAGTGTCTGGGTTGAGAGGTTTCATCAGTGTAAGATACCCAATGGATTTACAAGTCATAGAACAAAAATACGAATGTAAACTATCTCCATTTTTTGTTTTTTTGGCAGTACTGAGATTTTGAACTCAGAGCTTTGTATTGCTAGAGTTTGCTTTACTTCTTGAGCCACACCTCCAGAAAAACATGAACTACTTTATGAATAATGTTTATATTGTATCCTTGTAATGCTTATTTTGTGCTTGGTTGGCACCAGAGGTTGAGGCAGAAAGGTACAGATTTCAGGCTAGCCTGGGCACATAACTAGACACCATCTCTCTCAACTAATGAATTCATTAAGTTTATATTGATTACATACATGTTGAAATGATATTTTAGCTGTATTGTGTCAAAATTCTTGAAATTAACTTCACTTCTTTTTAATGATTTTAACGTGGCTATGAGAAAGCTTTTGGTTTTACGTGTGTGGCTTGCAGTGTATTTCTATAAAGCAGTGTTATTAGATCTGACCATCTCTTCTCTCAGTCACCCAAGAGAACTATATTCCTAATTCAACCCCTCCCCAAGTCTGTCTTGTTGGTCTCTAGGTCTCTAATTATAGAAGAGGCTCAAGCAAGAAAAAAGTGTCCTATTTATGTAATGTGGAGGAGTGCATGTATACGCATACATTGTGCGTGTGTGTGTGTGTGTGTGTGTGTCCCCTCCCCATGGCAGAATATCCCTACACTAGATGTCTAGGGGCTGAGAGAGCCTCATCCTGCTCTGCTGATCCTATTCATAGATGCAAGGCCTAGAGTATGCAGAAAACATGAGGCTCTTCCAGGCAACTCTACAAAAGTCAGTAGACAATCAATATAAACACTGCACATAACTCTAAACATAACATCACATTATCATGACTTTTTATGTCTGTCTTATGCTTCATTTCTCAGGCTCTGAACCCCTTTAAAGGAATGATCAACTGTATCTTATTCACCTTCCTGTCTCCCAACAACCCAGCAGGTCTGAGGAACACACAAAAGAAAGATTTAGTTCATATCCACTGTTTGCTATACCTACCTGGCCCCTGTAAGCTTCAGCCACACTGACCAACTCTTGTTCTCTACAGGTTAAACTGGTGGCTTTGTGCTGTGCCCTACAGCATTATTATCTTCCTCTATGATGAAACCAGAAGATTAATCATCCGTCTACAGCCTGGCGGTAAGGCTGCCCTGGTCCTCCTCTGACCGAATGGCCAGCAGCCCCCAAACAACCCATCTCACCTAGTTCCTCCAGACTCACATCCTCACTTTACTATACCTCTGCCTAGGCCTCTTCCCTTGACTGGGCCATCCTGTCCTTTCCAATGCTCTCTGTGGCCTCCTCCTTCTCCTTACCTGCCCTTTGCTGAGCTCCCCTTGAAAGTTCTCTTTCCCAGTTCACACTGGTCTCTTCTTCTCCACAGGCTGGCTAGAGAAGGAGACATACTACTAAACTCAGCAGAAGACACACTCCACATGACATGAGGGGTCATGAAAGCCAGGACTATGACAACAACAACATCTAAGCTGGGACAGAGACACTAGACCAACTTGGATGTGAGAGACAGGCAATTCTAGAGCTGGACTGAAGGCATCATGGGTAGGAGATGGGATGGATTGAGGGGAAGATCAGCCTGCATCAGGTTGGAGTTCATCAAGGAAGGGCATGGTCCGAAAGAATCCAGCAGCCAGTCTAGATGGTAAATGTTTGGAACAGCCTCACCTAGCTGGATGTGTCACGTCTGATTTAGGGGGAATGATTACTGAAAAGTTCCTTCTCTACATCTTCTCAAGGGAAACCCTGAGAAGAGAAAAGGCTGGGAGGAGATTAGAAGCAGCCATCCTTGTCCCTTGAGAGTATCTCAAATCACACCTAGTTGTCCCGGAGACAAATGACAAATGATTGCCCCCAAAAGTCTAGCTGAGATCACATAGTGATGGCCACAGCACTATACCCAGGAATGGAGGGACTGACTCATCTAGACCCCACCTCACTAACTCATTTCTGCTTGGTGAGCCCTCCATGTCGTCTGGCTGCTTAGTCAATTTAGATGCTAGGCTGTGAGTTGTGTCACTGATGAAGAACCTGAGATTCAAAGAGGTTCAATGACTTGGGGACAGTTACATAGGGGGATGTCCCAACTCAGAGGCAGATCGCTGTCGCCCTGCTCTCCAACACTTTCGTCAGGGTGTCTCACCCTCATCCCTCAGCCTGTCTTCTAGGGTTTAGCCTTGAAATGGAGTCTGAACACATGCTAGACGTACACTCTGGGCTCCAGGGCCCACTGCTGGTCTGGTCTCTGATGAGTGAGAAAGCCCAGAGAGGAGCTTCTCTCCTGCCCACCCTCCTCTCCAAGGTCTCTCCCCAACCCCCTCTGTACACCCTCACCCCCCCCCACTCACTTCCACTTGGTGAGTCCCTCCACTGTGCATTGTGATTCAGTTCATTCTCAGGCATCTTTCAGAGTAGAGAGTTGAGTCTGTCCAAAAGACTACTAAAAGAGAAATGCAAAGGAATACTACAAGGAGATCGTTAGCTGTTGCCAGAAACAAAACACTTGTATTAAGTGACTGTACACCATGACTGGCACTGGGCCAAGAGCTATATTCATAGAACCAATTAATTCACACCAATGAATTCCCACCTCTCCAGTCCTTTTGTAGAAGAGGAAATCAATGTCTATCTGATTGCTGAGTCTGTGCCCTTAGTTTACAGATCAGTCTTAAAGTAAGGGCTAGTCCAAGACACATATAAAGAACAAATAGAAAAATAAAATAGGATAGAGAAAGGGCCTTGGAAGGGTCTAGAGAATGTGAGGCATGGGCTATTCCACTGTATAGTATAGCCAGCTCTCTCCCCTCACTCAGCCTCCTCAGAGGTCTCTCTCCTTCCCATTCTCCTCCCTCTCCCAACACAAGGTCTCCTGGGGACAGGACTGTAGCAGTGTGGGGTCCTCCCTGGCTGCTGACTTGGCTGAACTAGACCCTAGAAGATGGAGGGAGGGGCCATGTAGGTGTGTGAGTGAGGTGGGGAGGGGGAGGGGAAGAGGAGGGGCCAGCTCCTCAGGTTTCAGTACAGGGAGCTATGGATGTCTGGTGGGTTAAAAATACAGACTGCCCCAACTCAGGGTCACTTGATACCAGTGGCTGAGGCAGTGTTAAGTCCAAGAGCCTAGAGAGAAGAGGACTGAGTAGAAAGAAGAGAGCAGAACATCAGAGTGGGAAGGGTAAGATAGGGCGGAGGGGTGGGGATCGGAAAGGATAAGGGTGGAAGAGGAGACAGAATGCCACGGCCAGAGACAAGATCCCTGCAGAAGAGGATGGAGAGATGGAGGTGGCCATGGTTATTATGGAGTCCCGTCTCACATTCTCAGGGGAACAAAAGGTCTGATTTGTGGAGGAACCGGTTTAATGCTCCAATATCTGTCCCAATGGTTCCCCTTTCCCCAGAATGCTATAAAAATGAAGAATCGGCAAATGATCATCTGGGCCATCAGCCTTGGAGCAGGCCCATCCATCACTCCCAGCCACCTTGGCTCTGGCAGTGGGCTTTGGCAGGGCAGCCACTCTGCTGGGAGAGCAAGAGGCAGGACTCTGAGGTCTCTTCAGCAACAACATGCCATGCTTGGGCTTGCTTGCCCTGGCCTCTCCTGATACTATGACAGCTGTCCCTCTTGGACCCATTCCTGCCCTGCTCTTGAGATTTTCTGTGGCTCTTCTTACTTAGCTGTATGAGGTCTGCCCTCATTGGAGCATGGAAAAGTTATCCAAGTAGAATTCCATGTCCCTGACTGGATGTAAAACAAACATTATCCATCCAGAATGAGAGATACCCTAGGGTAGAGGGGTAGGGTTGTCTGACTTTGATCTAGAGTCTCCCTGTACAGTTTACCTAGGAACAGTAAGGCATTGGTAAGCCATGAAAAAGGTCCTTTCTGGGTACCATACCTCAGCTTCCTCACTGGAATCCAGAAGTTACAGGCTTTAATCTTCACGCACACACACAGCTCCATGTCACATCTGTGTATAGAATTAATCAACATCCTCAAGTAGAGCACAGGGCCCATCACATCAAGTTTCCCATGTGTTATTGTCCCTTCCCCCAGTGTTTATTCCTTTGTCTTGTTTATACTTCGTCTTGACAAAGGCAGAGGAGTAAATAGTAGCTATTAGCTGTCTTTGGAATCATGCAACCTGGGGAATCCTCCCTTCCCACGGTGCCCTAGAAAATGACATCCCAGAGGACCAGAGTAGAGAATGGAGCATATGCCGGAGTTTGTAGGCCCGCAGCATTTCCCTTCTCATGGTGGGTCTGGTGGGCAGAGAAACCCCCACATCCACATCCCTGCAGGGTGGGATCCGAGCCAGCTCTGTCCTTCGCCTGCATTCCTCAGTTAGGACTGTGGAGTGAAGTAAAGGAAACTTGCTGGAGCTGGGCCAGGTCTCTGGTCTTGGACTCAGTTCCATCTTTTATTCAGGAATGATCTCATCCTTGGTTCTGGTTCTTTAAAGGGAACTGCAGGGGGATTCTTTCCTGTAGCCTGGACTGCACTTCAATTGCCGCCCTCCTTGCTTTTCCATAGAATCAAGGAAATAGGCTCCAACTATAGAAGATTCCCAGATGTTTAGGGTACAGAGGCAATTCCACATTTGTCCCCCTTTTGTCCTATATTATTAACTTAGCTAGGACCAGAATACTGCCTCCTATGCACCTGCATTTCCTTCTCTCAAACTATCTTCAATCTACCCCCAGTGATCCCTTCTACTCCTGCCCCTCCCCCAGCCCAGCTTCACTTACCTCGGACTCATCTTGTCTTATTTTTAGATCCAGCTTCTCTCTCTCTCTCTCTCTCTCTCTCTCTCTCTTTCTCTCTCCCCTCTCTCTTTTCCTTTCTTAATATGGTGATGAGCTCTTGGGCCTGCGTGGGGGACAGGGGCTGAGGAACCTTGGCCCTAGGGGAGGGGGAGGGAAGGCATCTGGGAGCCTGGGGAAGAGGGGTAAGAGGGAGGCGAATTCCAGCACTCACGGAGCTGTCCTGGCCTCAGAAGGTTATCTGTCTCTCCTGCCAACCACAGAGACATATTTAGACAGAACCAGGTGGAGACTGAGGGGTGCCAATTTCAGGGGGCAGCTCCGGTTCCCTCCCCGCCCCTTGCTCCTATTCCTCCTCCTGACCCTTTTCTCTTGGCCCTGTCAGGCAGTTTCTCCAGGACCCAGCAGTGTCCTCTGTCCATTTCTCTGGGCCACTCCCCACCCCACCCCCCACCTAGAGCCCCTAATTCAGGATTTGGTACCTAGGGACCCCTCCCTACCCCAGCTAATCTTCTCTGGACCAGGAGAGCAGACCCAGATCCTACTACCTCCATGAGCCCTACAGCCAGGATGGGGGCCAGAGCAATGCCCAGGCTGAGATTGGCACTGCTGTTACTGCTGGTGCTAGGGGCGCCCAAGTCAGGGGTCCAGGGGGAGGAAGGTCTGGACTTCCCTGAGTATGACGGCGTGGACCGAGTGATCAATGTCAATGCAAAGAACTACAAGAACGTGTTCAAGAAGTATGAGGTGCTGGCCCTCCTCTACCACGAACCCCCTGAGGATGACAAAGCCTCACAGAGACAATTTGAGATGGAAGAGCTAATCCTGGAGGTGAGTAGTGGGGGGTGGGGTGGCACAGGCCTAGAGAGCTCACCTGAGTCACACAGCCCCACGTGGAGCTCTCACGGTGGGATCTGGGGTGGAGAGGAGCATGGCCGGACCTTTCTCTTGACCAACAGAATGCAATTGGCCTGTGGTCTTTGCCAGATGAGAAACAGACACAGGGACCCAAAATCCTATCACAGAAAACTTTAGGGGGCGGGTGCTATTGGGGGGGGGAGGTTCCTGCCATGTTGTAGGAGGCAATGGTACAGGATTTGGCAAGGAAGAGGATGAGAGACAGCAATGGAGGCACTTGGGAAGCAAAGGGAAAACTCAGGGCAGTCCTGTGCATTGCTCTTCCTCACCCCACCAGATACTCCCCTAGCCAGGCATGCCCCTCTCCACACCCTTAGGCTACACCCCAAAGAGCTCCAAGCTGATCATAAGTCCCATGGCTTCTTGATGGCTGTATGTTTACAAGTCTCCTAGAAACCACCATACCTCCCACTGGCCTACCACCTCTTTCTCTTTTCCTTTCCCTGCCCCAGGTCCCCCCATCTGTCCCCACTGGATCAAGCCAATGTCCTCATTGGAAAATTCTTATAAAGGAGATTTCACAATGCTTCCTCCTTCCACTCCTCACCCTTTATCTGCCTAAGCAGAGAGGTTATTATAAAAAGAGAAAGAAGAAGAAGAAAAGCCTAGGGTTGGACGATATGGTCACATATCATGTAGGAGCTGGGGCATGTTTGAGTTTCCTCATCTGAATTTCTCCCGCCCCTTCTCTGGCTTGGTGGTACAGAAAGGCCCCAGCTTGTCCAGAGCTTGGTGCATTTGGGGATAAGCTATCAAGACCAAAGGTGCTCAGCTCTGTGTATCCCCACTGAGCACTGGAACAGGCCATCTGATTAATGAGCCATGTATTTTTATCCTGACTGCTTGGCAGCCTCAACCATCCACCTGCTACCACCTCCCTTTCCATCCACGGAAGAATCCCGGCACCTGAGTATTGGGTGGGGTAATTCCCACAGCACAGGGAACCAGCTGAGTGCTGCCCTGGGAAGCTGTATTTCTCAGCAGTATGACCAAACTCTTCTCTACCACCACCCTCCAAAACTTGTGTTGGAGTCACTGGAAGGCTCCAGAGATTTTTAACATCACCCCCACACTCCTCTGGGCCTTTGTTCAGGATGAAGGCAAGGCCCACCCCTTCAGGAGGAAAGGGGCCTTCAGAGCCTCTGAAGCCAGACTACTTAGTACCCTCAGGAGCTAGGAAGTATTCAGTCTGGTGCCCCGAAACTGATCATGAGCACAGTTGCAAATGAGCATTACTCAATAGCTTCAAACAAAAGCCAAGCCAAGGACTAGGACTATGGCTCAAGGGGTAGAGTAACCTGCCTAGTTCAAATCCCTAGATTCTAAAACAAGTAAAAAGTTGAGCCAAAGACAAAAAGCATAGAGTTGTGGGGATCAACCCGGGGCCCTCCTGCACCTCAGATGACCCAACATGAAAGCATGAGATTGGGGAGGGGGGTTAATAAGAATTGCAAAGGCTAATTTTAACCCTAATCCTACTTCCAGTTAGCAGCCCAAGTCCTAGAAGACAAGGGTGTTGGTTTCGGGCTGGTGGACTCTGAGAAGGATGCAGCTGTGGCCAAGAAACTAGGTAAGGAAGGGGGGAGAAAGTTTCAGGAAGGGGAAGGGAATGCAGGTCTGAAGAGGCTTCTCTCGAGGCCCTGGGCTTGGGAGCTCTTCCACTGAAAGGAGGAATTGAAAATACTGAGATTGAGAAGATAATGGCTGCAGAACTTTATAAGCTCAGATCCTCGTATGAGGTGGGGATGGTCTTTTTCCTTGCTCAGAAAAGGCTTGGTGGAAGGAAGGGAGAAGACAGGCTGAGCTGGAGAGCAGGCTTCCAACTCCTCCTCCAACCCCTCCCCCTCCACAGCTTTAGCTGGTTGTTTCTGCATGCAGCCACCAGGAGGCAGCACTGGCTCAAAGCCAGATTCCGGATGTGGATGGGGGAGGGGATGGTTAGTAATAATGAAGTCATCTGGTCAGCAATCACCAGTTGAAGGGCAGGACCGAGAATTCCAGCTACTGGAATCTCCAGGGAAGATAGCAGGAATATTTATCTCTAGTTACGGCTGGCAGGGAAAGGAAGCAATATTGCTAGAATCTGTGTATTTCTATGTCTTCCCTACACCCTACCTGATCCACACACTTCACTTTTCCCTAGAACTCTCTAAAACAAGGTTAGCCTCCTGGGCTAAATGCAGGGACATGCACATCCAGGGTGTAGCAGTTCAGGATGGTGGAGGTGGGTAGGTTAGGGCGAGTCCAGTGAGATTATCCGGTGAGCTGGAACCCAGGATTTGGACTTCTGACTCTGGAAGTTTGGGACTGTGGCTCACCTTTCACCCTCTGCCCAGGTCTAACTGAAGAGGACAGTGTTTATGTGTTCAAGGGAGATGAAGTCATTGAATATGATGGTGAATTTTCTGCAGACACCCTGGTGGAGTTTCTGCTTGATGTGAGGATTCTACCTTGTTTTTATATTCTGATCCAACACCATACTCATATCACATATATCATGTGTACATGCAATACTTGAAGTATATAACATGTCACAGCACATGTATATCACATGACCACATATGCATATCACATGCAATATAGCATATAAGTACATCAAACATACCCAACATGCTTTGATCACACACACATCCCACCCATCACCTACCATATATATGCCACAACAAAACTACATGCCTTATACGACACATAGCACACACAATGTATTACATGCATCATAATCACCACACAACATGTATTATGTACTTATGCTCAACATACCAGATATAAAACATACAATGCACACATCATACAAACTATACAACACATACACACACACACGCACACACAACACACTATTATGTAGCCCCTTCTCTCTAGAGATCCCACTCCAAGTTCTGCCAGTGAGGACTTAAACATTCTTCTTCAATGTCCCTTCTTCCAGGTCCTAGAGGACCCTGTGGAATTGATTGAGGGTGAACGAGAGCTGCAGGCATTTGAGAATATTGAAGATGAGATCAAACTTATTGGCTACTTCAAGAGCAAAGACTCAGAGCGTGGGTAACCTTCCACCTCTACTCTTCCCTTCCCTGAACCCCATCTCACCTGCCTTGCCTCCTTACTCCAACAGCATCTATTCCTCACTCCTTGCCCCTCTTCGTCTTTTGTTTTTTTTTTGTCTGTCATGGGGCTTGAACTCTGGGCCTGGGCGCTGTCCCGCAGCTCTTCGGCTCAAGGCTAGCGCTCTACCACTTGAGCCACAGCACCATTTCCAGTTTTCTGGTGGTTAACTGGAGTTAAGAGTCTCACAGACTTTCTTGCCTACGCTGGCTTCAAACCACAGTCCTCAGATCTCAGCCTCCTGAGTAGCTAGGATTATTAGCATGAACCACCAGTGCCCAGCTCCCCTCTTCCTCTTGAATAATCAGCTCCAACGTGTGTTCTAACCATCCTGTACTCTGGGGGAGGGGGTTTCCACATACAAGCATTTCCACCATTCCACCTCCCCCCAATATAGCCCTGCTGTATTTTACCTCTCTCAAAGGACTAGATGGGGTGGGTGGGTCTCCCAGCATCAACTTCACATACCAAAGAACTGGGCCAAAGCAAGGGGATGGAGTGGCTGGTAGACCTTGATTCCCCAGAGACTGACTGTACTTTCCTTCCTCAGATTACAAAGCCTATGAGGATGCAGCTGAAGAATTCCATCCCTACATCCCCTTCTTTGCCACCTTCGACAGCAAGGTGCTCCTTCACGTGGGCATGTTGGGTCTTCCTTTACCCCTAAGTTGCCCTCCAGCTTCCTCAGCCAGAATGGATGGGAACCTGGTCCTATCTCATATGCTGGCACTCTCCACCCCAAGCTCCTCTGCCCCATAGATTTAGAATATTTAACCCACTTTCAATGAAATTTTAACTGAAATTCAGAGAAGACACTCATCCATTGACAAAGTGGCAGTGACAAAGACCCAGCTTCTTTGATTCCCTTTCTAATATGTGTTCCTTCACAATACTGCTTCTCACTATGACCCTGCACCTCCCACTCCCCTTCTTTTCATCCCCTTCCCCAAAGGTGGCAAAGAAATTGACCTTGAAGATGAATGAGATTGATTTCTATGAGGCCTTCATGGATGAACCTGTGACCATCCCAGACAAACCCAACAGTGAAGAGGAAATTGTCAACTTTGTGGAAGAGCACAGGAGGTAGGAATGGAGTTAAGTCTGTGAGATAGACCGGGAAACCTCAGCTAAGCAGGAAGCTGGTCTCTACTGGAGGTGAATGCTCTCCAGGCATAGAAGTTTTGCATGCACACACACACACACACACACACACACACACACACACACACACGAACTTAGCTCTATGACCTACACAGAGAAGGTCTTGTGCAACTGTAGATAATTCCTTGCAATGCTGATTGTGACCTCAATAATCTCTGTCAACAAATGATCAGTGAGTGTTTGTGGTCTGACCAGGAGTTGTTAGGTACCTTCTACCTCTATTGTTGTATTTAATCCTGTTTAACAATCACAGTGAAAGAGCTTCCACTGAGAGTAAGCACCAGAGCTGAGTTTTTAACCCTGAACTGCCCTGTGCTCTTTCTCATACATTATACCAATATCTTTCAACAGAAGTGAAGAAAAGAGCAGGCAGGGAAAGGGTTCTGTCCCTTCAGTGGAGATTTGGCAATGTCTGCAGACATTTTTGGTTATGGGTAGTGCTGTTAGTATTTAGTGGCTAGAGGTCAGAGATACCACTAAATACCATATAGTGCACAGGCATCTCTCCACAACAGAGAATTATCCAGACCCAAATGTCAGTAGTCCTGAGGTAGGAAAACCCTGCCCTATACTCATACGTAATTCTCTTCCTTCACGTACTACACAACTGGAAACTCCCACTCATCAGCATAAATACTACTTACTCTCTCCCAGGAGATTATGGTCCCCTTCACAGGGAAGGAACATGTTTGCCTGCTGCAATGTCTACTCAGCACCTAACTCATGGCTTAGCACCTACCAGACCTTCCATTTATTTATTTGTTGTTCTTTTTTTATTTGTTATTCTTTTTATAGTGCTAGGGATTGAATTCAGTGCCTTATGCAGGTGAGACAAGCATTCTATCACTGAACTACATCCCCAGCCCAAGTCTTCAATTCTATTAAACAAATGAGTGGATAAAGAAGCCAATGAATAAGTAATTTGATTACCACCAGTTCTTACCTTTCTCCAGAAGGTCTCTTTCTCCAGCCCCCTTGCAGCCCCCTTCCCCCTGCTTTCAAACCATGTAATGATCTGGGCCTGGTGCCCAGAGCTTAGGCTTTGCCAGATGGCTTTGTTCAGGGCTACAAGCTGTCTATGGCCTGAGTCTGACCCAGAGGCAGCCTGTGCTACAGGGACCCTCTGTTATAGGGAGGTATCCTTCTCATTCACCAAGTAAGGGACCCTCTGTCTCTTCTAGGTCAACCCTGAGGAAACTGAAGCCTGAGAGTATGTATGAGACCTGGGTAAGTGCTCCTGGCCAGGATCAGGCTCTCAGGGAACAGAATGGCTAAAGCCCTAGAAACAGCCTTCCCAGCTGCTCTTCATACCTACCTGTAGAAAGAGAAGTGCAAGGCAGGGGAAAGAGCAGTGAAGAGGAAAGCGTTGGGTTTTTTTTTTCCCCTGTTGTTGTTGTTCTGAAAACTTTCAGGAATCAGGAGATAGACACAGGTAGATGAAGGGGAAAGGGCCAAGCCCGAAGCTCTGGGTAAAGGAATGCACAGAGGAGGCATAGGGTTCTGAAGTTCAAAGGGACAGTGTCACTAGGCAAAGGGCCATCATCAGAAGAATATACCTGGTCCCAAAGCTGGCTTTTCACACAATTCAGGGTCAAGGAACACCTAGAGCTTGTCTAGGTTCTCTAGCCTCAGGGAGTACAGGAGTCATCACCCAGCTTTTCCTCTCACCATCCCCCCACCCCAACAGGAGGATGATCTGGATGGAATCCACATTGTGGCCTTTGCAGAGGAAGCTGATCCTGGTAAGAGAATGATACTGGATTGGCCTGCAGGAAGGCCAGGGGGGTGGGATGGGTGTTGATTGGCGCATAGGCCTCACATGGGAAGCATTCCCCAGGCCTTTGCAAGCAGCCTGGAGCTAGACACGTGGAGCTGTAGGAGGCTAGGAATGATACCTGAACTCCCAGTTCCTGTGTCCCTTTCCTGCCATCTCATACTTCTCATTTCGGTTCCTTCCAAGATGGTTATGAGTTCTTAGAGACTCTCAAGTCTGTGGCCCAAGATAACACTGAAAACCCTGATCTGAGCATCATCTGGATTGACCCTGATGACTTCCCCCTGGTAAGAGGCCTGCTCAGGCACTACTACCCTGACTCAGAGCCTTAGACTATGGCACCTTTGGATCAAGGGCTTTGTTTCAGTCATGCTCTCCATCTCTGAGCTGGGGAGTATGCCTGTTGCATACTCAAGGGTACTGTGAGCATGGAAGGGAATGAAGATGGGAAGTGAGTCACTGGAACCTAACACACATCTGTCAGAGCAGAGGCTGGGCAGGTAGTCTGAGTGCCAGGGCTGGATCCTAGAGAGAAACAGCACTCTGCTGAGCAGTTGGGTGCAATAACCCTGCACATGAGTATAAACACTCATTCATAGGTTCAAGGTAGATTCCATGTCTCAGGATGATTTCTATCTCAGGTGAATAAGCCAACAAAAATGAGAGGAATGTTGGTGATTACCTCATGTGAGAGATATAGAAACTGAGGGCCAAAGAGAATGACTTGCCCAAAGTCACAAGGTCAATCCAATAGTGGATTCAAAAACACAATAGGGAGTTTTTTTTAATCTACTTTTCCTTAGAAAGGATGAGCTTTTGGTACATTTCCTCTGGGATTCCCACTCTTTTACAGACCAGGGCCTTCTGGCCCTACTGTTCCCCATCCATTGCGAGTTCATGTTATCTGCTCTATGGCTGGGCTTACCCTCACCCCAGTAGACTTGGGTATTTCTAAACTCCATTAAGCTGCCATATTTGGATCTCTTTACAGCTGGTTCCATACTGGGAGAAGACATTTGACATCGACTTGTCAGCCCCACAAATAGGAGTCGTCAATGTTACTGATGTGAGTTTCCTTCCTTCATCCTGGGTTGACCATTACTTTACTTTTTTCTCCATCTCTCCTCCCCTCTACTAAGTAGGAATTGAGTGCTTTCCAGAAAACAAAGCAGACATGCTCAGTCTAGTGGCTAGACTAATTAACCTGGGGGAGGGGCAATGCATAATGTGAACATGCCTCCATCATTCATTATAATCCTCTTTGGAGTCTTCAGTGAAATTGTCTCTTCCATGGTATTCTTGGAGCTCACCTGGCATTGGGAGTATGACAACATTATCTACTCTGTCTATCTCCTCCAGTAGACTTTTGAGAATTTTTTTTTCTTTTGGTACTGGCATTTGAAATCAGGACCTTGTGCTTGCCAGGTAGATAGATTTACAGCATAGTCGTAACTCCCTCTTGACTGACCAATTCAAGGATGGAAATCTTATGCACACATAGTAGGTGCATCAAATCTGTGGTTTAGTTAAACTGAGTAGTCCACAGTCTTTGCATTCATAAAAGTCTAAGACTAAGGGATAGGTAAGTATTCCATTAAGTACAAGGCGGATTTGATAAACTGCATAATAAGATACAAATAAAATTCTGAAAAGACATAGAAATCAGTGATTTCTGCTTGAGAGAATCAGAGAATCGTTTAAGAGAAAGTGGCATTAAAATGGAGTTTGACAATGGATAAGTATTTTAATGAGTGAAGTTAAGGGAAGTAATTTCCAAATTGAGGAAAAAGCAGGATGGAAACATCAAAAGCCCAAAAATGAGTATCATGTTTGGCAATAGGCAAGTAGCATTTTCTGTGATTTCATAGCCTAGAAATCACTGAAGCTGATACTGGAAAACCAGTGACATTATTCTATTGGCCATGAAGAGCCACAGTGCTTTTTGTTTTTTTTGTTTTGTTTTGTTTTTGTCAGTCGTGGGGCTTGAACTCTGGGCTTGGGTGCTATCCCTGCACTCTTTAGCTCAAGGCAAGCACTCTACCACTTGAGCCACAGCGCCACTTCCGATTTTCTAGTGGTTAATTGGAGATAAGAGTCTCATGGACTTTTCTGCCCGGGCTGGCTTTTTGAACCATGATCCTCAGATCTCAGTCTCCTGAGTAGCTAAGATTACAGGCGTGAGCCACCAGTGCCCGGCTCCACCAGTGGTTTTGCACTAAGGACATAATAGAGACCTCAGTTTTTGGAAGCTTTTTATGGCAAAAGTGCAAGAAAAAGATGGAAGGAACACCTTTGGCCAATCCAACTTTCCACTTTCATATATTACTGTTCTAAGCTAGATTATCACCTAAGCACTTTCTATGGCCACTCACTGAAAGATGAAAGGAGGGAGACAGAGTGGGAAGCCATCTAAAGACCTGCACTGAACTTAGCTTCCATCTCCTGCCTGTGCCGTCTCCTAGGCGGATAGCATATGGATGGAGATGGACGATGAAGAGGACCTACCTTCTGCTGAGGAGCTGGAGGACTGGCTGGAGGATGTGCTGGAGGGTGAGATCAACACAGAGGATGATGATGATGATGATGATGATGACGACGACAATGATGATGATGATGATGACGACGACTAGTTGCTCTGACAACTATTTCCCAGCCCCACCTGCTCTCTTTCTATATCTCCTACCTTCTTTGTGCTCTTCCAGGGACACTAGGTCATTCTCTGCCATAAGGCCAGTTGGTCTGTATTTTGGGTGCTGATATCCTGGTTCCCCTCAACTGATGAGGAAAGGAGCGATTTCTTTTTAGATACCAGCTCAACTCTCTCATCTGACTTCTGTTTCTTATTCCCTAACTTACTTGTATCTATTTTTTCTCTCATCGCTCCTCACATTCTTTCATTTTTCCTCTTGCCATTATCTAGGGGTCCCATCTCTCTTGTTCCTTCCATCGAGGCTTACGGTCTTTCCTCATTCTCTCAAATCCTGCATCCTTCTGTCTTGTCTCTGGCCAGGAGGAAGGGAGGTACTGTGGGGCTGTATCTCAGCCATCTCTTGTTAATGTATTTGGGTCAAATGCAAGGCCTCAATAAAGAGATCTGGGACAGAATGAGCAAGTGTCTGTTGATGAATTCTCACCCTTGTGGCAGGGGGAGGTGGTCACAGGATGGGAGATTTAAGTGTGGGTGCCTTGTTAGGAATGAGCTAGGGGACTGTGTGTGTGATAGGAGCGGGGGGGGGGGTGCTCTCTCCAGGCAGTTATCCCAGAAAAGCCTGGATTATTTATCAGCTTCAAGTCAACAAGCCTTTTCTGAACACATGGTGTTTGTCCAGTGCTGCTGTTGGGCTCAGGGAGAACAGAGAGTGCCAGGCCTGTCCCTACTCTTGAGCTGATTAGTTTCACTGAGAAGTTAAGATAAGCACAACTAAACAATGGCAGAAAAATACAAAGCAATATGTAATTAAGTGATTATGTGCTACTGGATTATACCCTCCCTACAAGCTCTTCTTTGGATATCACAAAGAATCTCAATGATTCTTTACAGTGATGCATTCCCAGATGTTGTCCTTCCTAGAGTCCCCTCCTCTAGGTTCCCATTGCCTCTTCTATGTAGACCTCCATTCTAATACTCAACACATTCTGTTATAGTTCTTCACTTATATGTGTGCATATCCCACTCAACAACACCTTAAGGACAGGAACCCAAGTGTTCTCTTCATTTCTACAAGGCTAGGCACATAAAAAGTTGTCATTAATGTTTGCTAAAAGAAGGAACAAATGAAATCTAGGAATGGACTCAGAAGAGAAGGATCGGAGTGAGCTTGATGACTCTGCAATGGAAGTAGGCCTTTACTAAACCTTCAGTTAAATAATTGGATTTGATTAGAGGCAGAAGAGTTGGGAAGGAGATATTTCAGAAAAGTCCCCTAAAATGGTAGGGTGTGTTTGTCTTAGTTGGGTTACAGAGAGCAGAGTGATGAGGAGAAACTCAAAATTGTGTTTGTGAGGTTGTAGATAAGCCTAATGGGAATGGACTATAGAGATGTCTGAAGTTAACCCATGAGTTGGTAAAGGAGAAAACAATTTCATATTGTATTGAAGAACATGAGGGAGGAAGATGATGGTGAGCATAGAGGCGAGGAATCAGAGATGGTTATAATAAGTAGAATGAAGTTGGGAGAATGTGGGTCCATGGGGTAGAATGGAGAAAAGGCATTGACTTACGAGAAATCAACCACACATGGGCTATTGGAATTGTCTGCAGGAAAGACCTACACACATTCCATTACAGGCCCAGGCTTGGGTATGCATAAAGGAGTTAGGCAGGGAAGGAAAAATTGTTGAACAGGCTAAAAATGTCAGCTATTATAGTGGGTTTGTTTACTTGAGCTTTGTTTTTGTTTTGTTTTGCCAGTCCTGGGCACTTGAGCTGCAGCATCACTTCCAGCTTTTTTTGAGTGGTTTATTGGAGATAAGAGTCTCACAGAGGGGCTGGGAAGGTGGCTCAGTGGTAGAGTGCTTGCCTTGCATGCATGAAGCCCTGGGTTCAATTCCTCAGCACAACATAAGCAAAAAGAAAAAAGCGGGAAGCGGAGCTGTGGCTCAAGTGGTAGAGTGCTAGCCTTGAGCTGAAGAGCTGAGGGGCAGCGCCCAGGCCCAGAGTTCAGGCCCCACGACCAGACCCAAAAAAAAAAAAAAAAAAAAAACGGAGTCTCAGAGTTTCCTGCACAGGCTGGCTTTGAACCTCAATCCTCAACTCTCAGCCTCCTAAACAGCTAGGATTACAGTGTGAGTCACCAGCGCCTGGCTAGTTTCTTGTTTGTTTATTTGGAGACAGGTTCTTATCTAGCAAGCCTCTTGATATGTAGTCAGACTTCCTCCAAGTTGTGATGTTCTTGACTGCTTCCATGCCTGGCCCAACATCATAGTTTTCATGAAGCCAGTGTAAGGCATTGCCAGGAGACTTCAATAATTTCTAAATATGGGTGAATGAAACCTGAAGTTTGAGAACATTTTACTCTCCACAGACAAATCCAGGAAGTGCTCCTAGAGAAGATGATCCAAATAGATAGAAACCAAGTGTATCCATCCAACATGCTCCCATTTAATTAATGATGAGTAGGTAGTATAGACACTAGGTTACTATTATTAAAATCAACCACCAAGGGGCTGGGAAGGTGGCTCAGTGGTAAAGCGCTTGCCTTGCATGCATGAGGCCCTGGGTTCAATTCCTCAGCACCACATAAGCAAAAAGAAAAAA